AGAGAGAGAGAGAGAGAGAGAGAGAGAGAGAGAGAGAGAGAGAGAGAGAGAGAGAGAGAGAAGAGGAGAGAGGGGAGAGGGGAGAGGGGAGAGGGGAGAGGAGAGAGGAGAGAGGAGAGAGGAGAGAGACGCTGAGAGCGAGGGCTGAGGAGGCGAGAGGAGGAAGAGCCGCTAGGCATTGGGGAAGGTGGCCATGGCAGGCGTGGGGCTGAGCAGGAACACCTGAGTCTCTCTCATCCTGCCCTCGGGTCTCAGACTTCTCACAGGCGGGCGTGCAAGCAGAGGTGCGGGAGCCCAGGTGGCCGGACCCAGAGGTGGGGTCCGTGGGCACAGGCAAGGGAGGGTGGAGGACGATGGGACAGGGGCAGGGGTTGAGCAGGGGACAGCAGCCCAGCTGTTCCCTGGCTGCAGGCAGTGGCTGACACCTGAGAGCAAACCTGATGCTTGATTTCTCCTGGGAATGGTGCCGCCTGGCTGTGTCAAGTGGCGGCAGGTGATGCTAACTGTGCCAGCTCGGCAGGCGAGCTGCCCAGGTGTGCTGGTCTAATGCTCCTCTCGAGGGTGCTGTCAAGATTTTTTTTAAAAATCTTCACCAGAAGGTATGTTTATTGATTTGAGAGAGAGAGGAAGAGAGAGAGAAGAGAGAGGAGAGAGATATCCATCTCGATCGGTTGCCTTCTGTATGCACCTCGACCCGAGATCGAACGCGCAGCCTAGGTAAGTGCCCTGAGCGGAGTCAGCCCCAGCCATCGGTGCCCCCGATGCCCTTCTGCTGAGGGGCTGAGGCTCTCAGGCCTGAGCGCTGGCCGGGCAAATACTGAGGTTTTGAAAGGAAAGAGAAGCAATTCTGCCTCGACTGGAGCAAGCGCCTACCTGCGTTTCCAGCTCTGCGGACTCCAGAACTTTAGAGGATAACCAGTCCTGCCCGGCCGGTGTGGCTCTGTGGATAGAGCGTTGGCCTGTGGACTGAAGAATCCCAGGGTCAATTCGTCAAGGGCACGTACCTCGGTTGCAGGCTCCTCCCCGGCCCCAATCAATGTGTCTCTCTCACATCGGTGTTTGTCTGTCTTTCCTTCTCTCTTCCACTCTAAAACTCAATGGAAAAAATCCTCAGGTAGGATTAACAAATAAAAGCAGACACACAGGGTGGGAGGTGCCTTCTCCAAGTAATGCCTCCCTCACCCGGAGGAGGGCTGAGGGCTTAGGCCCGAGGCCATATGTGCAGGAGGGGAGGTTGGAGAGTCCGGGGAGCAACCCCCTCCTTTCTCCCCCGCCCCCTGCTGCTCCCAGTGCAGCTGAATCTGGTCTTTGCAAACACGTTCAGAGAGAGGAACGCCTGCCTGAGGAGGTCTCCCCACAGGCCCCTAACAATGGCCATGGCCAAGCCTGGCTGCATTCCGCCTCCAGCCTGCACAGGTTCAGGGCAGCCGTAGCCTGTTCTGGGGTGCTGGGAGCAGAGTGGGGGGCTGCCCCTGCTCCAAGGCCTGTGAGGAGGCTGGCTTCCCTCGTCCTCTCTTCCTGGAGCTGGGACCCCAGGGCTTCCCAGCCTCTGAAGCACAGCCCCCCACCTTGCCAAACTCTCACCACTCTTCAGCCTCCACCCACGTCCCCTTGCACCCAGGGCACTTTGGGCAATAAATTCAGGGGTCCGTCTGTCCTCTTGGTCGTCCTCCGGCGTCCGGCCCAGCACGGCACAGTGACAGCCTCTTCACACAGGCGGGCACTTTCGAAGTGAGGGGCTTCAAGGAGTCTGGCTGGTGGTCTGGGTTACAGATGAGGACATGCCTGCTCCTTTCATGGCAGAAATCCTATCTAACAAGGAGGAAATATGCTACTTGACCCTCACGCCGTCGCAAGGATGGTGGCGCTCACAGCCAATGAAGGAATATGCTAATTGACTGCCCCACCCTCAAAGATGGCAGCACCCACAGCCAATAAGGAGGGAATATGCTACTTGACCGTCACGCCGTCACAAGGACGGTGGTGCCCACATCCAATAGGGAGGGAATATGCTAATTGACTACCCTCAAAGATGGTGGTGCCCACAGCCAATAAGGAGGGAATATGCTAATTAACTTCCATGCCCTCAAAGATGGTGGCGCCCACAGCCAATAAGGAGGGAATATGCTAATT